AGAGGAGGGAGGGAGGGAGAGGGAGAGAGAGGGAGAGAGAGGAGCTGGATAGCTTTAGGCACCACTGCTTGTTTTTAAAGAAGCAGTTTGTGGAGAGGTCATTTCCTGTCCACACTGTAGACTAGTTCAAAAATATAATTCTCCTCACAGCCTGACAGGGGTCTAAGGTTTGGTTTTAATTTTTTTCCTCCAGCCAGGACCCTTCACAACCTGATCGCTAAGCATGTTAGCATATAGGTGGTTTAAGGGGCTGCCTGACCACTCACCCCTGACAGCCACACTGCTGTAACGTATCAGAAATGTGATTACCACAAAACAGGGAAACAGAGCACCCTGGTCCCCCACAGGGGAGCGGGGGCTCACTGACATGCAAAGGTTTCCCCCCAGCTCTCATCTCCCTCTGTAGTTTTGTTTGTATTGCTGTAGTTCCAAGAGCTCGTCCTAGTCTTTGCATCTCAAGCCTTCCTCACTCTCAGGCCTCCCCAATCACTGCCCCCCTCCTCCTCCCAAGGCTTCCTCCAAGCAGGTCTGAGGGGGCCTGGATTCAGGTTGCCTAAGCATTTTCAGCTACAAGCAATGATTGAGAATGTTGACTGCCTGAGATACATCCATGGAGCAAGGGCCTTTTTTCCCCAGGAGGAAAAAAACCTAAAAACTTCCAGAAGCAGGCTTCCCAACAAGATAGAAAAAGCAAGAAGGAGAACACTGCCACCAAAACGACCTGGAAAATTCAGTTGAGTGGGAAATGCAGATACCGAATGGCTCATCCCCAAACAGCATGCCCAACTCTGATGGAGATGGGTCTTTATTTTGCAAGATTGGTCAAGTACATAAATCTTTTCCCAATATGTTCTATATGATAACAGGAAGAAAAGAGCCCATGGGAGGGGAAAGAGTCTCTACAGAGAATAAAATGATCTATATGGCAATCAAATTCTGCTGGAACCAACGACTACCAGATATAGACCCCTTAAACAAAGCTCAGACCCAGAAAATGTAAATGTAGGGAGCTAATACTAGCTAGGTCAGTGGTATTAAGGGAAGAAAGCAAAGACCACCAAAAGCAAGATGCATGCAAGACCTGAATGTAAATGCATGCAAATGAGACATTTCTTCTTTTCAGTAAGCAGATTAATTAACTTTCTGCCCCACTCCTGGCTTGGGGTATCTCCAAGTCACTAGCCAACAGGGGATAAGGTATTGCTAATTCTGCAGTTTACACTCTTAAGAATAGTCAGACAGACAAAGGCCTCCAAATCGCTGTCCTCCTGGGTCCTTTTCCATAATTGCATGAAACGTTTGCAGAGTCCACCTCAAAAGTCCATCGCAGCCCAACACAATCCTGGGACTTGCCAGGATGAGATTAGGGAGGCACTGCACTAAGGCTGCTGGGAACTTGTTCGAGAAGACCCCAAGGCAGGCCAGCGTGCTTGGTTTCAGGTTTCATTACAAATCCAAAAGCTGGATCAAATTTGCTGCAAGGTTTGTCAAAACACACAGCCTTCTAAAGACAGGGTTTCAAACAAATTTGGCGTGATTTATGTTTTGGAATGATGGCCACTGCAAAACCTAACAGTTCCTTGTGTTTAAATTCCCAAACTAAAGACGTTGGAAGGGCTCGGTGCCTGCCTGAGTGTGCATGTACCTGGCTCTCTCCCCGTAAGAATCAGGGTAACACCCAGCAGGTATGTGCAGCCCAATACTGATCAAAAAAGGAAAAGCTCGAAATTCACTTAGGGAACCTCTTTCTGAATAAGTTACGTTTTTCTTTCATTAATTCGTTCGGACCATTCCAAGTTATAATTGTAAATACTGCTTCCTGTTAATCCCTAATCCAAATTCAGAAACATCTGAAACTTTATAATGCTTGGTCCACACTGTTTCTCAGCCCTCCTATTTCATGAGTCTCCAAACTGGTGTCCCTGCTCACAGATTCACCATTCACTTCTAACCTGTGACTCGTCCCTGTTCCCATCGGAATGCCGACTGTAGAAAAAGAAAATTGATCATGTCCCATGTTTCCCTTCAGGGTTTTCCTGCNTCCCAGCAATTTATTAATGATCCCACTTTCCTGCTTAAATAAGGATTATCTCATATACCTTGGAGCCCTCTGCTCCCACTAATTGAGGTATACCAAGAGTCTATTAGTTTGTTCTCCAACCTTTTCATGTGAGTTGTAATTATAATTATTTAATTTTATTAAATATATAAACTTATAAGAGTGTCAAAAGATGTTATTTCCTTAAAAATTAATTTGAGTGCTGAAAGGAATTAAAGACAACAACAAAAATTGAATGATATCCCATGTTCATAGAGGAGAAGACAATGTTGTTAAGATGGTAATACTCCCCTAGTCAGTCTACAGGGGACACTGGATAGAGTTCCAAGTTCAATCCTTATCAAAACCTTGCTAGGCCGTGGCCAATATGACTCAGTTGGTTGCACCACTGTCCCATGAACTAAAAGGTGGCAGGTTCAAATTTCAGTCAGGGCACATACCCTAATTGCAGGTTCAATCCCATTGGATGGGTGCAGGAGGCAACCAACAGATGTTTCTCTCTCATGTCAATGTTTTTCTCTCTATCTCCCTCCCTCTCCCTCCCTCTCTCTGTGTGTCTCATTCTCTGTCTCTCTAGCAAACACATCACACACACACATACACACACACACACACACACACACTTAATTAATTAGCTACACTTGATCTTCCTGAAGTTAGAATCTCCTTCCACGATTGTTCGTGTTTGTACTTTTGTCCCTTGTTTACCTGCAAAGTCTACTCATCCTTCTATCCAATTAAACCCTCTCCTCCCCCGTGAGCCTTTTTTCATTTCCCATTCATGAATTCATGGGTTCCACAGATATTCCTTTCCCAGCGGATGTGCGCACCAGCCCGGAGCACATTTCCACCCTGCTTCCACCACTTACTTGCCCTTGTGAATTGGAGCAAGTGACTTGACCTCTCTCCTCCCTGTATCTCAGTCCCGTCATTTCTGAAATCAAGGCCGAAAGTAACAATCCACAAGACTGTTGCAAAAAATTAGATGCAACAGGACACTAGAATGTATTAGAACCCACACATATAAATGCTCAAAAAATGTCATTATTCTTACTTTCCTAATACAGTCAGCCCCAGGAAGTTGAAAATCTGTATATAATTTTTGACTCTACAGTCAGCCCTTCACATCCACCAATCCAACCAGCCTCCGATAGAAGACAGTATTTTTGCATTCACAGCTGCAGATTCACAACAGAGGATAGAAAATACTGTTTGGGAATCTGCAGATGAGAAGGACCAACAGTATTTATTGAAAAAAACCCACCATGTATAAAGGCACTCATATTGTTCAAGGGTCATGTGCAGGCTTGGGTGCTAAAGAACATCAGGAGGTCAAGGTGGGTACAGCACATAGACTCCCTGCCTTCCTGTCCCTTGCAACCAAGGCAGGGGCGGGGGGACAGTATAGAAATAATAAGCCTCTGGGAACATAGTTTCAAATTGTAGTGTGTGCTATGAAGGCAATAAATAAAAGGGAGAGATGGAAAATTATTTACCCCTTTGGGTCACCAGCCTATCTTCTGTATTCTTCTATTAGAGAGTCTACATGCAAACATGATAATTTTTGTCATTTGTGAAATATTTACTATGTGGCAGACACTGTGCTGGCTGGTTTCCACAAATATTCTTCCTTTCATCTCACAATAAACCAATGTGATTAATCCAATTACTCTCCCCATTTTATAGATATGGAAACTGAGGCTTTGAGATGCCAAGAAACTTCGTCAAGGCCATGCAGTTAACAAGTGACAGGGACAAGATTCACACCAGTCAGCCTGGGTCTTAAGCGGCTGTTGTCACCAGGGTTTTGTTCTTTCTCCTGCTTAATTTCAGACATCCACTGTCCCCCTGCCCCCACTTCTACCCCTTCTCCTCGAAGTCTCGCCCAACTGCTCCCACCAGAATCTTCTGGCACATATTCCCAAAGCTGCACTGTTAGGTGCATTGGGCTAACTGGTTGGCTTTGCCACGTGTTTGTCCTGCTTCCTTGCTTCTTGAGGGACCGCCTCTGACTCGTCCTCTTATGGCCCAGGACTGAGCCTGAGAAGAGGAACAAATAAAGGGCTCATTTTCAGCCTGCCAATCATCGCTTTTGGGGAATCATAGGGAAATTCACTAGGCAATATCTGTGTGCCGCACAAGAACCAGCAGGCCTAGCCCCAGTGTGACGGTCCTCTTACCCCCAAGATTGAGCCACGCGAGTTTACATATAATTTTGCATGTTGCGTATTGAACACACTCCACAAGACCTCGTCTTGCTGTATTCAGCTCAGGTTCAACCCAGTGAGTGTTTCTTTTTCCTTTAATTTGAAATGTCTGCCAACAGTTTACAAAACT